GAAAAATTGAAGAAGAGGGAGTACTTTCTAATTCATTTTATGAGTCCAGCTTTACCTTGGTCTCAAAACCAAAGACATTTACAAGTACTAACAACTATCCTCCAGGAACATCAATGCAAAAATTCTCAACAAAATTTGGGGAAATGTAATGTATAAAATGATGGTCTTTGAATGGATGATACTCATTCATTTTTAATTGCCTCCATTTTAGGTCAGGAGATAACTCTTTGTGGGTCTCTTTTGCTTCTGAATGTCTTGTGAGTGAGGCATGACAGTTCGTTCAGGAATATCTTTTCAAGGGTATAGCACACAGTCCAGGAAGACACACAGAGTGTCTCTCTTTGGGTCAAAGGTCGAGTTTGCTTACCTTGACAAGACTCCATAGTTTCTATCTTTGGAGCCACAGGGAAGATTTGCTTACTCATCAGTATAAGAAATACATTGTCTCCCTCCATGTTAAATATCAGGCGGGTTTACCAACCAGGAGAAAAGATACAGTCTTCTAAATTCAGTCACGTCCTCCAATAACATGATCCTCAGTGTGTTCCATGTCATGTGGTCCTCTTTGCTTTGCACTGTGGGAACTGAGACTTGGGGAACTGGTACTGATACTCTTGTCCTCAGTTGTGATAAACTACTCTTCGTTTCTGATCCAGGAGTCTCGTGACTGCTACCTGTACCCATGGAACATGGCGGGTTAGTTAGTAATATCTCGGACCATTCACAGTTCTTGGCACCTCTTTCCATCAAAATAGGTGCAATCCCTTTGCAAGCTTGGGGGCCTCCATTAGAGATAAGACCCTCCGACCAAGGTCTTCATAAGCTCTTCTTTATATTTAAATCCCTGGAAAGCTGTTTGCCATTAAGATTTTTAGAGCTTTAATGTTTAATAGAGAAATTCTGTGGAGCATATCCTTATAATATGTAATTTTTATTTTTCTATCTGAAAATGTCCATAAGATACTTCCTTAAAACTTTTTGACATTTTTAGAAAGTGTCTTACAATCATACATTTTTAAAATGTGCTATAAAAATAAAAATTAATAAAGGTGAATATGTGCACCTGAAACTCCAAAGAAACAAGTGTCAAAGTTACAGAAGGGTATTTGCACCTTTATACACTGGTGATGCCACTTTATAACAGTTAGAACCATGCAATACATACGTATGTACTTGTGTAGTAAATGTATAAAGCAATAAATAGAAAATGATAGTCCAGCTCTGTTTTAAAAAGATATATTGTAGAAATGTAGAGGATGGATTAAATAAGAGAGATGACTAAAACAGAGCTGGAGAAGAAGTATTGAGTAAAAGGCTGTTCTACTAGAAACATTTGATGAGAAGGAGTTTAATGAGAACATATTCAATGAGAAGAAAAAGAGAAGGAAGACTAATAAAATATTTCAGCAGGAGATCAATAGGACCTGTTAATCCATTTGAAATGGGAGGCAAGGAGAGAGGTAATGTATATGTATGAAATATATACGTTTTATATGCCCAGCACTCTGCCAGGTGTTTTACATATGCTATGCAATTTAATCCCTGATAATAGCCTTGTGTGATACACATATTTATTTCTATTTTAAAAATGGAAAAAATGAGACTCTTGCAGGTTATTTAATTTGCCGAAGGTCAAATGGCAAGGAAATGGAGATGCCCTATTTGGAGCCAGGTGTGTTTGATTCAAAGGTCATGCTCTTTTCATTTCAGAATGAATCCTAATACATCACATAGCATTTGAATGTTGTTGCTTTGGTGAACGGCGATGCCATTAACTGAAATAGGGAATTCAGAAAAGTAGCATGTTAGACATGTTATAACTCTGAGAACTTAAGGTCTTGGAAAAAGTGAAAAATAAAGATGCAGTCCTGTGCTATTCAATATAATAGTCCCTGGCCTCGTGTGGCTGTTTAAATTTATATTAAGTAAAATTAAAAACCCAGCTCTTTCATCACAATAGCTACATTTCAACACTTTACTAGCCACATGTAGACAATAGCTGCCATGTTGGAGAGCAGAGCTGCATAGTATTTCCATCTTCATAGAGAAGTATATTGAATCATGTTGGTCTGGAGCTTGAATTCAGCAGTTATCATTATATGAGACTGGAATGTATTATTAAAAACAATAGACCTGATAAGATATCTCCTATCTATTATTTATAAGTTCTTGTCTATAACTTTGCACACATTATCCTATTTGATCTTCATTAAAATCCTACGGAGTCAACACAATCACTGTCTTCGTTTAACACTGGAGTACAAGTTACCCAGCAGTAATGAGAGCCTTGGAATGCAAGCACAGGGGTCTGGTACCAGGTCTTAACCACATTATGGTGGTGAATACAAAGAACAAATGTGAAGAAGGTGAAAGAATCCTAAGGCTACATGAACTTTCAACAAAAGAATTTAGAAATGAAGAACCTATATAACAGATTTAAGATCCAATGTTCAACAATGTACATATAGTTCATTATACTGTATTATGCACTCAAATATTTGTTATGAGGATACATTTTGGGTTTTGTGACTTTTACCACAACAAAAAAGCAAATCTACCTTTTCTTCTCAAAAATAAAACCTCTTCCACTTATTTCTAAAGAAAATCAATATTCATTCACTTTTACAAGATAAAAATAGTCAAACTATTCAATTTAATCTTCAATTATTCTTAACATTCTAGAAACAAGTTTCAAAGTTAATTAGATGGCCTTTAACATTTTCATATCTAGGAAGTAAAAATCTCTCTATATTTTATACATATGTCTTAACTTACTAATAACATTTATTGATAGTTTTGTTATATTTATGAGTGAATTATATTTTTAGTATACTAGGTAAAGTCATATTTAAAACTAGCAAATGAAAATTCCATTCAACATCATAGCCTTTTAAGTCCACCAATACAATATTTCATAAGTACATCATCTGCCATTTAATAAACCAAATAAAAACTACTGAGACTTTTTCACTTTAAAATTATAAATCAATACTTTTCACCACCAAGGTAAGTGCAAGATTTCTCACATTCCCCTGTTTTCCTTCCACCGGCCACAAACCCCCACAACCAAGTCCAGGAATTGATCAGAATCAACTATGCAGGGACTGTCACCTTCCAAGGATGAACGGAATTACAGGAATTACGGAAGTTGGAGGAAACTGATGGCAGTTGGTAGGAGATGAGTTTTCAGAGTGAGTGAGAACTCCGTGCCGGGAAGCACCAACCCCTTTCTTGTCCACCACAGCCCAGGCAGCAGGGCAAGAGGACCCTCTGTTTGCTTTCCTTGCCACGTGAAGAACTGTGACTTCTTCACACAACAGGGGGATGAGGAGCAACCATCCTAGCCTGAAAGTCCTTGTGGCAGGTGCTGGCAGGATGAGGCCCAAGAGCAAACCCGATGTTTGTCCTGTGTTTCCATTCCTTACAACACCCGTAGATAGGCCGTTCTCTCATTGGAGGGCCCCATTGTGGATTCAGGTTTCACTTAGGAGCAATATTATTTAGACTTCTAGCTTTGAAAAGAAAAGTGTGCTCCCCTAACTACATGTCCAGCTTAAGTTCACATCACAGTTTGGGTTTCCTAGATAATACTAAAGGCTTAGTTTATTTCTTTGGTATAATTCTGAAGGTAGAAATGGATATACCAAGGATAGAATCAGGTATTCTGGGGTACCCTGCTCAAGGTCAAAATCATATTCTTCTTCTTTAATATAACTCCAGAATTGTGTGACAGACTAGAAAAGTCACACCAGACTCAATTATGCAGCAGTTCATATCCCATTCCCCTCATGTGGCAGGAGGTGCTTGACTAAAGCCATTTCAGTCACTTTGGAATGCCATACGTTAGCATAGAAAATTCAGAATAAAACGTCAGTATGAAAGGGTATTATCATTACAGGGAATATAAAATGGAGGTCAATGTTTGGTATTAAACAATTGCCCAATTATGATGCCAGAAATCTATTTTAATACATCAGGGTGAGTTTATTAATAGGGAGGGTTAGCCAGGCCTATGTGACCCAATGGTTGAGCATCAACCTATGAACCAGGAGGTCACAGTTCAATTCACAGACAGAACACATGCCTGGTTGCCGGCTTGATCCTCATTAGGAAGGATGCAGGAAGCAGCCAATCAATGATTCTCTCTCATCATTGATATTTCCATCTCTCTCTCCCTCTCCCTTCCTCTCTGAAATCAATGAAAAAATATGTTTTTAAAAAATAGGGGAAATTAAGTCACAATTACTTTGGAAACTGATGACCTTTAATAGATATTTCAAAGACTAATAGTAGGTTTTAGGAAGTGTTATGGGAAACGATAAAGGGTATGTGGATAAAGTTTGAGATGTGAGTGAGAGATGAATAATTAATAAATGAGATCTGTCTAGCCTTCATAGGTATTGCTGTCCAAAGTAGAAGTGCAAGAGTGAAGAAATACTGGATTCTGTGTTGGAAGTTTGCAATAGATGAGATTCATTTTAATCTTGATCTTCCAGGGGGGACATTTATATGGTTTTGTTTGATCATATGCACACACTTACATGCATACACACACTATCATTTCCAAATGAAATTTGGTGTTTGGATACCAAATAAAATTTTCTACTGGATAAAAAATAACAACAGAGTATGAATATATGCATTAAACACAGGAAAGAGAGTCCCTTAATGAACCTAGAGCCAGATCATGCCTCAGGGGTCTAATGATTAGAAGTGATCTAGTTGAACCATTTTATTCCATAGATGAGATCTATGATTTAGGGAAGTATATAGCCTGTCAAAAAATCCTACAGACGTTGGTTGCTCTTTAAGCCTGGGTGCTTGTGTAACACTTTAAAGGAGAATCTCAGGACAATGTAAGAAAAAGTAGTGAGTGATTGTTTTGTTCTAGAAATAAGAATTTCCTGAACTACTTAGTATGTGAATGTTGACAATAAATATTTTTATAACTAATCATTATAACTATGTTTTTAAATTCAGAAAAAATTACTGGTTTTAGATAGGACTTTAAATGTATTTTGGTATATTTACATTTATATAGGAATGATAAGCAAAATAAAATAAATAGAAACCAACATAAAACAAATCTTCAATTTGATAGCCACCTGTATTAGAAGAAGATATTGGCATAATATTCTGCTTGCATAATCTTCAGACACTCTTTGATCCCAGAAATTAATGTAAGATTCCCTGAATTAGGTCTATCTCTGACTTACAAATGTATCAGTAATTTCAAAGATGTATAGAAAAGATAATACAAATTATTCTGTTGATATCAACTTAGAATTTTGTTTTTCTTCTACATTAATATTCCTCCCAATTAAAACTAATTTTTTTATAATTAATCATTACTGCATAAAGTTTTTGGTTCTTCCAAAAACCAATGTTGTTGCAAATTACATTAAGCCTGATAACATGTTCTTGGCCCTGCATTTCAGGACATAGAAAACCATAACTTGTTTCATTTCAGATTCTATGTGTTTCTCTATGATCCACAAGCCAACAAGTTTATCTTGAACTTGAGTATTTTCTAGTAGATATTTAAAATATATTTTTTAAATTTTTATAATCTTGGATTTTATGCTTTACACCTTAAGATGAATATGCATTAATTTGGTTGTGAGGTAGGATCCATCTTTTGTCCTAGCCTTTGCAGTAAGGTTTTCCTATGCTAAGCAGAAGTGATTAGGTAAGTTCCTAATTAACAATTTGATCTCTAGAGAGAAGAATAAGAAACTCAAAAGACTTCAGCTGTATGCACCAAACTTAAATATGCAGCCGCTTCCAAGAGTTCAGGTACACCTAACTCCAGGTGATGATGGCATGTATACATGTGTATGTTACTAAATTGATGGTTTTCTAGGGAATCGGATGACATTACAACAAAACTTACATATACTCAGTCAATGTGGAAAAGATGAGATCCGAACTTGAATTTAGCTTTTACATATGTAATAGTTGCTTTACATTGTTATCTCATTTACTATAGTACTCCGTGGATACACATTTAATCACTACTCACAGTGATATTTTAGTAGTTAAACTTAGTAGCATCTGAATGATTTTTTTGTTTTCTTTAAAGTCTCCATCTATACATCTGGACAAAATATCCTAACTATATAGCCCGAGACCCAGTGAAAGGAGCGAAGTCAGTTTGAAGCCAAAATAAGTACTTAAATCATTCAACCATTTATCATTAGATGACACATATCACACCTCATATGGAGACAATAATTCTGACCTATCCCAGGAAATTGTGAGGACAAGCCTAAAGAATAGGACGGCATGCTTACACAATATGGAGCAGCTCCACAGACATATATATATATGAAACCAGACGAGTATGTCTACGTGTAGCCTTCAATTTCCAAGTCTTCCTGTCCTCTTCGATGATTGGCCTAAAATGTAGGCTCAGACTCAGAAAATAATAGAGCAGTGTAGGGTAGCACAATTAGATTGTAAGTAGAACCACGTTCCGAATAGGAAGCAGATGCATCCTCAGAGAAAAACAAAAAGAATGTGAACTCTTGTCAGCAGCCAATGAATCAATCGCTTTCTTCTTACAAGGGTTATGTTAAAATTGTATCTACCCTAGTTGGCAAATACTAAATTTGAAGAGCCTGTGAGCTTACATGGCATACTTTTAGACAATTCTAAGAGAAGATTTTTTTTCCTCTAAAGAGACTAATAATTATTTTGCAAATATGCTGCTGGGCTCGAAACAAAATATTTTTGTTTTTTTTTTCTCGAGAGCCGGTTCCAGGCAGTAACCCAAGTGCACTTAAAAGTAGCACCCCCCTCCCCAGATAATTTTCATTTGGGGGCTGCTAGAGGCTAATTTATATATATTTATCAAGATATAAATAAGGGCACTATTTTTAAGCACATTAACTTGTTTAATCTTGTATCCATTCTGTCCCAACGCAATAGTTAATGGTGGAGTTTTGTCATTGAAAAAATTGTAGCATCTTTTATTTGACTAAAAAAGAACCTGTTTCTAGTTTGATAATGTTTACCAATTGCTGAGAACCACAACTGTGTCCAGCACACCTTCTCCAAAATTGTCTGTTTTGTCAGAACATCCCTATGGGGAAGACATGGTTCTCTCGAAATTACAGATAGAAATACTGAGTCTTGGAAGTGAAGTCATTTGTTCAATGTGGTGATAGCTTATAGGGATTCAAACTCAATTCTATCTGACTCTACAGTCCATATGCATTTATGCGATGTGGCTCAACGATTTGTGTACTCTATTATTTTTAAGAAAAAACAAGTAATATAGTCAATATATTAATCTTAAATATTTTTTCATAATTCTGAATTTTATGTGGAGTTAACCAGACATATTGCTTACAATGACATCCGGCAGAAATGCTTTACGAATAGTTCCTGAATTACTATTGAAAATAATGCATGTGCTCATCTTTTGTCTACTTCCATATCTGAGTAGCTGAGTGCTTGGTTCCTTTATCTGCTTTAGTCAAATGCAGCTAGAACATAGGCGCCTAGACATCTAAAAAGCTTCTTTTGTGCAAAGCAGCATTTCTACGGAGCAGAGTCAAGCTCATGGTCTGATACTTAGCGTGGGCTGGCGGGGGTGAGATTGTCTATGTGATACCATTTAGCTGAAGAGGTTTTCACTTCAAACAAAAATACGTATTTCTTAGGGTAAATGTGTCTCCATTAACAAATGCTTTACCATACTACTCAGCGATTCTGATTCCTCAAGGCTACTTATTAATTATAAGAAGGAAACTCAGACCTTACATTTTACCTAAGCAGAATTTATTTCTTACATGAGCAAAAATTTACTTTAACCTCAAGCACAGAATAACATATTTGAAATATTCACCTAAGGGTAAGATTTTGTCCCACTTCACATTCTTGCTATTTACCTACTGAACCTAAATGCTCAGATGTACATTAAACCATGTGCCATGAAATAGAGAATCCTTTGATAAATACATTTTTTTTTATAAAACTCAGATTTCATTTACTATAACTCCTAAATAGAAGATTATTGAAATTTCATCAGAAAAATCAATGTTCTAACCCCACATGCACCACAAGGCCTGGGGTAGGTCACAGAATTCATCTATTTTGATTTTTTTCATAATTAAAAAAAGGTGGATGGAACCTCCTTCAAGCTGAAATATATTAATTTTCTAGTAGGATAATACAATTGAAATTCAGTGTGTATATGAGGCGACCATATAATACCGATGCAAGTTGGCATCTTTAATTTTTTCAACCTTGCTCCCTCCTTTTCTTCCTTTTGTGCCCAATGCAAATTTTTTTCAACCTTGCTCCTTCCTTTCTTCTGAAATGCTTGTGTAAGTGGCCCCTTACTATGGCACCTGGAAGTATACAGTTGACTTTAAAAGTTGGGTTGGACTTCCTGATCCATCAGGGAAAAAAGTAAAATCTCTTCTGTAGAAAGCACTGTCTTTCTAAATTGTCTTCCTTTGCCACAAAGGCTCACGTGGTGTCTGGACCTGTCATGATGAATCCACTCATCCCCCACACAGTGGATTCACAAGTTTCTTTCTGTTTCTCACAAAAAAAAAGTTATCCTAATAAGGTATTAGGTCAGACATCCTGGCTAATTTATCAAATGGATGATAAATCTAGGCCAAGCAGTATGTATTTATTCCAGCGCTTAACTTGAGAATAAAAGCAAGCGTCCCAACAAAGCTTTTAGAGGATGGCACTCACCCAGCCTTGTGAGGCCATGAAGGTAGCACAGTTTTACTTGCAACTTCGAGAAATAAAAGCCCTGCCTACTTGTTTTCTCCCCAATAAGGAAAGTTGATGATTTGACAGTTATTCTGGCCTTTGAAAATGCGTCTCTATTTCCCTTTTTGCCAGTGAAATAACTATTCTTTTCCAAAACCCAATGGGTCCCCACAGCAAGGTCAGAAGAAGCCCCTTTGCCAGCACGATGAGGGGAGGGGGGAGGTGGGTCTCCATTCTTTTCTCTCAGTCTTTCTCACCTCAACATTCCTGGTTTGACCAGATCTCTTCTCTGAAGGAAAATCCCAGCATCCTTAATTGAATCAGCGGGAACACGTATTTTAGCCCAAGTTTGAATTTGCTGATGTCAGGTGCACAAAGTCAGCGATTGTCCAAGCTGATGCCTCCTAGAATAATGCTTTCTGCCTAATTTTGCCTTATTCTTTTTTTGCTGTTCATTTATTTCTATTTTTTTAAATTGTGTTTCATTTAAGGTTTTTCCAAATCCTATTTGGAGTTAGCAAACATATATTTGGCAAACATGTTTGTGAATGTCATTTCACTCCTTAAGAAAATTAGAATGGTGAATATCCAGAATTTTTTTAGTATCATAGAGTCTTAGTTCTATTAAATGTTAAGTTAATATATATGGAACTATTTTCACTGTTAATTCATATTCCTCTGATTTCTACAATTGTATTAGTCCCCTGACTAATATGCTACCATGTGGTTGTATATAGGTTGTATGTAGTATATATGTGTGCATGTAAGGAATATCTTGACCAGGTGGGATAACTCCAGCTCTGCTTACTGTTCTCTAAACCCCTGCTATACTCATTTTGTCAGATGATTTTATTTCCAAAACCATTCTTATTTTCCTGAAATGCCCTCAAATTGTCCCTATATCCTTGCCTATCACCCACCCATATGGTTTCTCAGATGTAAAGGAGACCCTGCTAAGAGTCACCTTTGCATGTAATAATCGTTGCTGAATTGTCCGATTCCCTATCAATTGCCTACGTTCATTCCTGTATCCTCCATGTCCACTTGCTTCATATCTTCTGTCTGTCCTCCAATTCAAGTCTCTGCATAAGGACATAATCCTTCCTCACAACTTTCCATCTACCACTCTGCCGTATCTCTCTCATTTTTCTCCACCTGTTTTAGTCTGTTAGAGCTGCTGTAACAAAACACCATAAACTGGGTGGCTTATCAGTGACCGAAATTTATTTCTCATGGTTCTGGAGGTGGGGCAATCAAAGAGGAAGAGGCCCACCTATCCCATGTCTGCCTACGGTTGTCAATTCTCTGAATTTGGGTTGGGGACAAACATTCAGACCATACCACCACCTGTGACCTCCTCTTGCTTAATACACATATATTTCTTTACTTCCCCCGCAATCTAGCATCCCCTCCACACACACTTCATTGTATTTCTCTAAAGCTTCCATTTCCAAACCCATTTCTCTCAGTCTTGACGCAATACATAGTGAGAGGTTTAAGACTGGTACTGAACTTTGATAAAAATTAACTTTTTCTTTGATACACTCAGTATATGCTAGAGCTAGGCCAGCAACTCAGCATACCTCCCTAGGTGACCAAAGAAGCATTGGACCAGGAACATAGCAAAGTTCATTCTCTTGTTAACCCAAATTAGTTCAAATATGGCAGTGCTGACAATGGTCCACGAAGATAGCAACCCACACCACGCTATCCAGTGGTGGCCATGGACCTTTACTGTGACACCCACAGGTAGAATAAGGATAGATGCAGGCTGTGGTGGAGTTTGGATGGGTGCTGTGGAGGCACAGGGTATGTAGCAATCAACTCCATCTGCATTGAGTGTGGGAGGAGGCAGGCCCAGGAGGAGCTGGGCCCAAGATGTCAATATTTCAAGATGCTTAGAAATGAGCCAGGTGAAATGTTAAGAGAAAAGAGTGAGATATTCAGACGATTGCTTCTCTAACATGATTGTAAGCATGGGCACTAGAGTGTTCAACACTCCTCATTATCTCCCTGTTACTTCTAAGCACATTACATTCCTAAAACAAGCATAGAGACCACTGACAATGTGGTTTCAACCTGCCTTGTAGACACCCAGTCTCTACAAAATAAATTGCTCATCATTTTCTAGACCAAAAATATCCTTTCTCATTGTGTTTTTTGCTTCCTGGTCTTCTTGTTCATGTAAAATACCCTTTTCGATATGACACATTTTGAAAATATAGTTACCAATTCTTGCCTCTTTACCCCTTCTGGAGTAATTATTTCTGTACTACAATAAGTTTTCTTTATTTTTAAAGGACAGATCACACATTACTGAGTTCTGTGAACATCTGTTTCCATTAATTTTTACCTCACTAGCTTATTAGCATTTCATGGTGAAGGAACACATCTTAGTTTTGTGTTGTGTGTGTGTGTGTGTGTGTGTGTGTGTGTGTGTGTGTCCTTCACAACCTATAGAAACAGTGCTTTTAGCTTTTCAATGAACTGTGGACCAATATATAGTTCAAGCAACAAATGTTCCTAAGAAATACATTTCTGTTTTAAGAAAGCAATTAAAAAATCTGAGCCCTAGAATTCATGATTTTATAAAATTCTTAGTTACCTCATGATTAATCTAACATAGCACTATCCTGAAAACAAACTGGGAAAAGCTAGACTCACTACAAAACGCCAAGGGTTTGCAATGAATCTCAGTATAATTAACTCATATAATTTTTGCAACAGAACACAAAATGTGCCAGGGTGGAAAATATTACTTATCACTCTGGAAGGCAAAGTTCCGTAATACTTGGGGAAATTTTTCTTTCTTTTGAGGGGCCCCAGCGTTTAAAGCAGAGAAGCAAAGGACAGAACGTGACTTGATTTATATTCTACTCAGTACGTTGGGGAATAGATCCTTATGGTCATAGCTAAGAAAGTTAAAAGTTTTGGGTATGGAAGTAATGTATTTTTTAATCCTAGTCATTAATTTCATAGACAATATTTAATCTGTAAAATGTAGGAAGAAGCCCATATTTATACTTAGTGTTGCCACTGACCTCTTATAAACTCTTTTTATAAAACCTAAGAACTTCCAATAGCAGAAGTGGATTTTAATACATTTGTTATAGATTTTATAGGGGCATCAAAAGACTTCTCTTTGATTTTGTTTTCCCTTAAATGCTGACACTATGCCTGAGTGTCCACCACAAGCCAGGCAGTTAAGTTTCTCTTAAAATGCTTCATATTTAAGAGACAATAGGAGAGTTAATAACATTTTCAAGTTAGAAATGTCACAACAGACATGTGTTTCCATTCATAAAGTATGTCATGAACACATACAAACTATCCTTTGTCATCTGGTTCTGCCCCATTTCAAAAATTATTCTCTGCTATTAATTAGAAGTGACTACAATTTGATTAATTTCAAACATGTGTCACATAGGAACAACGTGGAGAACTGAATTCAATATTTTTCCACTAAGAGTATACATAGTGTTCATTGAAAGAAGCCAAATATGTTTTTATAAACCAAAAGCTAGTATTATCACACTGAGAGTATTGTCAGTGTAACACATTCCAGTTTATTTGAAATATTAAATTCACAGAAGAACTTAATTATAAAGCTTCTGAGACTGAAAATGCAAAACTAAGTGAACTTCTCTCTCGTTGTTTTCCACCTAAAACTCTTATTCTGGAATCTGTTTCTTCGCCTGAAGAATGCACCTGATCTTGGTCCCTCTTTGGTTTTTTGATTTAACTCTGTTGGCCAACGCTTCCCCAAACCTTCAAACTCACAGTAGACAAATCCACTTTGATTTAGCTGAGAGAAAGGAAAGTTTCAATTAGCAAGGGGGAAATGTGTCTTTTGCCTAATTTGCATTATCATTATTATTATGGGATGTGTACTAAAACATTTCTTTCAAAGTGCTAATTAAATTTCTATGAATGCACTAAGCCTCTAACCAGATTATAAAAGAAAAATCATATGATCAAGTAGTTGTGAGTTAAGAAACAATGATTCCATTTAGGTTTTTCCGTTCAACTTTCCAACAAAAAAAATGTTTTTCTTTCTTATTACACAGCCTGCAGTAATAAGTGAAATATAATCCTAATTAATTTTTCCTACAGCTGTGTATAAATCAATAGCTACAACATCTCAAAGGAAATGCACATTGCACCGTCCTCCAGGCTCCTAATGAATGCAAATAGAATGACCTTTTTCTGACAACTATGAATATTGTTTCACAATTTTACCATTAAAACCGCTGCTATCAGCAATTCATACAGCAAACAGGAAGCTACAATAGTTGTAAATAACTATTCATTATGGTAAGAAAGGAATGGAAAAACACTAAGTCTTCGTTATGCAACTTTTAAGCGAGTCTGATTTTAATACTTCATTTTGATATGGACATTCTGTGTCAAATGTAACCCCGTCTTCATTTTAGTTCTCTATTTTGGAAGAAAAACAATTAAAATCATTCAGTTCTTTATGTAACTTAATTGAGAGGTTTGATACTGAAAGGTTTTAGTAAATAAAGATTTCTCAGTCAGTACTGCTGCAAAGCTCTGAATACTACATTCAAATGTTAGAAGACTGTGGTTATAGTCCATGAAAAATACCTGGAGGAAAAATATGCATAGAAAATCCTATTGTTGTACTTACCAAGACATAATGCTACTCATGTGATGAACATGATGATGAATTTAGAAGCTTTCCAAAGAGAGAATGACATAAGGAAGACACCTATGGAAACCTGAGACAAGGGAGAGAATATGTCAACTGCATTATTGTCCATTTTGACTGAGGAACCACTTTATTCCATAATACAATATAACGGCATGTCCTCACACTCAACCCTGTTCTACTTTCCACAAAACGTCATCATAGCCATGAAGATGTCTCATTAAGTAAAAGTTAAATTCAAATTTTATAACAAAAGTAGTTAAGAAGTAAATAAAAGAAGTAGTTAATTATGTCAAACCTAATTCTGCTGATCATAGATCTACATACTGAGAACTCCCATTGGAGTTCACTAGAGCCAAGAATATAATTAGCCAGTAGAATTCAAACACTCATTAAAAAGAGGACTCCCCAAGTTGCAACCAGTTTTAAAAAGGGACTCACAACAAGAGGACGTCATTTCCATGAAATCCAAACATCATTCTTCTATCCCCTATTCTGCCATTAAATTTTGTACCTCTATATCGGACCGGGGACGACCATCACATGAGTATTTGATATACCAAATATTCATTAGAGACATGGATTTATGTAGGACATATTTATAGATATATGAATTTACTTTGGTAAGTAGTTGTTCCACCTTTCTGGCATAGCATCCACTTTCTACAATTTCAAATCTGAGAGTTATTTGAAACCCCCTTTAAACAATTTCTTGAAACAGTTAAGGAAGCATTTCTGTGACTGTGTGGCCCTATCAGTCACAGAGAGCATTTTCTAACTGTGTGACACGGTCTCCACTCGATGACATCTCCTGAAGATGTCTGTACTCTCACTCCCGCAATGCTTTCCTGCTGAAGATGAAGCCGTGCTACATCTCACTCAGTATTGATCTCTAAGGCCTTTCTTTCTCCCAATCCTGTTCCCAGTGTGGTCACTGAACAGTATCCGAGTTCGATAGAAAGATCAGCTGCTCACCCACTTTTTGCCAAAGCAATTTGTATTATGGATTTATTTTAGCAGTCTACAGTGGCAGTTGCTGTTTTTACTATTTAAATGCTTTGATTATCTGACCTTGCTTACTTTATCTTTCTAAGTGCTATGCATGGGCTTTAACATTGATCAATACGTGGGGATTCCTCTACAGGATTACGTTGAAATCAATCTCAATTCAGACTTTTTCTTTTTTATGTTTATTACTTGATCTGTCTTAATTGCATTCCTTATTTAGGTAAATAAGTTTAAACACATACTTTATTATACAGACAAGAATCTTCTAAGATCTACACATATTATAAAAACACCCTGTATTTTTTATGCATTATTTTATTCATTCCTATAATATGAAAAAGGAAAGGCTTAATTACTGGGTATTTTATTCAAACACCTTTGCATTATAAATAAAAGACCTAGTCCATTAGAAGGAAAACATAGTTACATATATTTAAATAACTGAAAAGTCTTGACACACATTAATATGCTATATTGATTGTGATATCTGTGGAAGTTCAACAAGTGCTGGCTACACATATATTTTGCACATAAATGTGCTTGTCAGACTTTTTATAAAATAAATTAGCACTCCATAAAATAAAGTAAAATTCTAAATATGTGTATCTTTATAAATCAATAAAAAACTATAAACCTGTTGGCTATCATAAAAAATTAATATTCAATGTGTGTAATGAGAAAAGTTTATCAGTTTCACCCTCACTACTAAGACTGAATGTTTTACTCCACTTTTTTATTTTGGATTAAGAGAAATAAATTAGAAATATGAAATGCTTTGAATACTTTTAAAATCAAATCTATGAATTTAAGAACCAATGATCTTAGAATAAAAATAAACTTCTAAAAGTCACTATTTAAGGCATAAAGTTTATGGACTATGAATTATATTACCATTAAGACTTGTTGCTAGATTTCTTATCTAGTTTAATTATATATCATATCTTCTGGGCTGGTGTAGTCACAGGAAGCTCCTGAATTTTATCTTTAAATCAATTGATTCTAACATTAAATTTTTCAAAGTCATAAACAAAAGAAATGCAGGTGTGATTTTAATAAAAGGAATTGATGTCATTGTTTTTTAAAAATTTCCCATTTTCAAATCCAGTCCAAGTCTAAATATATCTGTTACCAGCTTGAGAATAAAATTACAGTGAAATATTTTCCAGCTATGTATACTAGAATATAAGATCTACAGTTTGCTTCAGTGCCCCAAACATTCAAGCAGTAAAAAACTTGAGGTACATAACCATATGATTATACACAGAATATTTGCAATATGCTCACCTGTGCAAGTACATTTTTTACCTAGACAATTGTTTAAAACTCTCACAGGACTAGAGATATATCACATATATTTAATACATATACATATATATTTACATTTTCATACTTTGAACTTATTGGCCAAAATTATTTAATATTTAATACCTTTCATTTCAGATTATATTATAGATTATTATTACAATAATTTTCTCCTGCTCACATTGAATGATATAAAGTATAAATGAATAAAAACAGCCCATCACAAGATAATGCATTTTCATAGTTACCTGCATGAAGTGAGGGTAGGAAAATTAAGGTTCCTGAACATGAAAAGAATTAGGAAAATATGAAGAAATTTAATTACCAAATAGTTTCCATAATGATATTTCCAAAACCTGTTATGAGCAGTTAGTTCCTTCCTACTGTTTGTGGTCGAATAGCATTTGAGAGAAGTCCTTTTCCAGAAAGTTTTGCATCTCTGTAGATCACAAGCCTGGCCAGACATGTCCATACTTTTTTCCTCAAGTGGGTAAATGTTAAGAGAGAAGAATTCAAGTTTCATGATGCAGCAACACAAAGCTGGGAAGTGAAAATTATGTTGCAGCGGAGTCTTGAAAATATGACTGTAAAAGTTAATCAATAAAATGTCTATTCCTGTCTATTCACCGGAGGCCGCAGCTGCATAGCTTCGCTCAATCGATACTACAAATTATTACGATTTCCAGGTTCCCACTGGACATTCAGAACAAATCTTTCAAGTGTAACAGGCTTATACTGAGTATATGGCGTGTGTTCTCTACATTTAGTTGAAAAAGAGGAGGGGGAAATTAAATCTAAAGCCTTCGTGTTCTTTAAAAATTGCGCTTTATGGAACCAATAACTTATGGGTCATATTTTAATGTTAAAAACAATCTTGCTTTTGGTTGCCAGTTTTTTTGTGTGCTGCTTTTTTTAACTGGTTCTTATTTAGTTAATACATGACTTAACCTAGATTTTACTGGCATAGGAACCTAGCTAGTTCTGAATGACTATTCCAAAGTAATGAATAAAGAAAATTATCCTGAGATAATTACTTATCACAAAGTCACTTAGGCACAAAGATAAATGCAGGACCCTGGTGTACATCTCAGATTGTATCAGATCCCTTAAAATATATATTCATGTTATTATTGTTATGATTTAGTCCCACATTTTAAAAATCAGGTTTCAGATTTTTCATTTTCTTTTTTGTAAAATAAAAAATATGTAATTCAAGAAAAAATTTTCTTTAAAAAAAAAAAAGTCCCAGAACATTTTGTTCTAGTGAGATCCTCTGTTCTTGGCAGAAAAATTTGTGTAATTCTAGATTCTCAACTCCAGAACCCCTCAAGCCTTTGACCTCAACTTTATGCTCCATACATTTCCCTCTGCATCCCTGCATCAAATTCCAAGACTTTTCCAAATGAGGGTGTGGTGGGCTAGCGGAACTCACTACAAGGCTGTCATGTCTGTGACACCTGAAGTGCCTTTTCTTTCTTCTGAGTGATGCACACCATGAGGTCTGGCACTGCCCAGTACTGAATCAATTGGTAAATTTAATCAATTCATGCCACCTGTCGATTGAGTGTGGAGAAAATGTAAATAAATAAACCAACCTTTGTGTTTGCCAGGCCAAAAGGCTTTGATTTTATTTCACATTTAAAGTGTGCTATATATTTTTCATGGTAAAACACATGTACCTAGTACCAGCATATCCTGTGACAAGGTATTTGAGGCTATATTTTTAAAGGGGAAGCTGTTTCTCCTAAGACACCATCATTGCTTTGATTATAATCATTTATCCGTCTCTTTAAAATTCAACCATAACATTTTCTTATAACATGGCATAATAATACAGGGGTGAGCAAGAGTAGGTGTACAGTTGTGAGTATGCAAAACAGTTTATTCCGACATTATTATTGATTAATGATTATATTATTTATTTGTATTACAACTGTTAACATGCTTATGCCTACCCTGTACTTACAATTTTATGACCTGTAAGATATTTAATTGCTAAAAACCATTGTAAATAGATTTTTTTTGAGTCTGATACAATTTTAACTACTCTCTCGCATGATAGGTGTATGCCTTGCTCTCAATTTCACATTAAGAGAGAATATTCTACTTACTATCATGATCAAGCTTTATTGGAAAATAAAGCAGATGAATCTAGATCAAGCATAGAGAAATTGAGTTTGAGCTTTCATTGTAATCTAACTGGATGAGTCACTGGTTTATTTACTGATAAAATTTAAGGTTCAAAGCAGGTCATTACATGCCAGTTTTTAGATCAAAGATGATATTTTTTGTGGGTATACAGAATAATGTACCTTTCTAGTGATGTTTAACTGTAGGAAAAAATGATGGCCTTATTTTAATAACATTAAGTTAACATCAAACACTATCATTAATTTTATATTAGTGTTCAAAACCATTTTTATGTATTTTTTGTTCTCTAAATATACCTTAAACATTATTTTCTAATATAATTAAGCTTTTAAAAAAGACAATAGTACTTCTAACAATACTACAATACCATAGCCATTCCAAAAGAAACTTGCCCAATATGCTTTTAATCCTTGGTACAAATTTCTACCTTTTAATATTTGTTAAATCTGGTTTTTTCGTTGTCTGAATTCTGGCAGCTGACTAAAGGAACATTAATTGCAAACAGAGTGTATCTGAGTGTTTAATTTTATTTAGAAGCATGTAAAATGTCACCCTAGATTGTGTAATTATTTTAGTGCCTTATAATATTAAATCATTAGATTAAAACACAGAAATAAATTCCTCATGAACAATTTCAAATATTTTACTTTTAACAATACAAACTATAAATCACAAAAGAATTTTACTTCTGTTCATCACACGTAATATTTTGAAATCCTATTGATAGATATATCAAAATACGCAGTAAGTAATGTAAATTTAGAAGCTGGCTTCCAAAGATCAGTTAATATCAAATGCACATTTTAATTTTGGCCTCAGGATTGTGTTCAAAGAGATGAGTGACAGGGGGGAAAAGTTTAAATGGTGTGCTTTATTTAACTGTGATTACTCAATGTAACCAAAGTTTGGTAAGTGTAATTTTTAATAAAAGAGAGAGAGAGAGAGAGAGAGAGAGAGAGAGAGAGGGAAAGAGAGAAGCAGGGAGATTGATTCATCTGGGTTATGCTACTTTCATAATTATTTTTTTAAAAACAGACTAAAAAAATCAAGCAAAAATCAGAGAGGATAGAGCACTTTATCAGAGCACTCAAAAATGAAACCATATTATGTTTATTTGAAAAGCAAATGATAAAATCTGAAAACATCGGATCAGGTATAATAATTACATAAAGACTTAGATGAAAACAGGTTTAATACAAGGTGCTTCACTAAGAACAGTTTTCAGGAACCTTTGAAAACAGCAAAGATCTTTATTACTCTTCTTCATAGTTCCTTACGTGCCTCAATAGTCTGACCAAAAATTCTACTCTAAGTGTCTCTCAGTTTAATAGCGTCTTGTTTAGAGCTGCTACTTGAACAAAAAAGAAAGGCAACAAGAGCCATATGTAACCTTTGGACTCCAGAAACAGAAAGAGAAGACCATTGGCAGCTAGAGGCTGCGGAGACACTGTATTCTTTCTCTCGCTCCTACCTTGAGCCTTTCTCAATAGTTAACAAGAAAGTTGACTGCCACCTCATTATTTAGAATCTGGAATACGACAGTTACAAGTTTCAACATGTGCCATTTCAGTTAAGAAACGTTGCAAATCTAAAGTTTATCTGTTTTGGAACCAACAATTCCTTGAACAAGCTAGCACATTTACACATAACCTTTTGCAAGACACGGAGAGTTAAATATTTAGCCACTAAAGTCACAAGGACTGACTTGATTTCAGTACGTAAAGTAAAACTTTCTGAAATACTCAAAAACAACTCACTTGCAATCATTTTTTTCTTCTTCAGAGGCAATAATCCTTTCTGTCACTGTCTTCAGCTCTGCCTGGGGTTTTCTACCGTTCTGTTCTTGGCGAACTGTTTCTGCTATTTGCTCAGTTAGCTGCTCTTGAGTAGCTTTCAAGCTGGATTCCATTAGAAGAAGTTTTTCATCTTGACTGGCAAGTTCTTGGGCTGAAAGATAAAACAAGAACATTGCCTTTTAAAAAGCCAAGAGCATGTATTTTTCCCCCTTTTGTTTTGGGTTTAAATTGTATGCAATGCAACTTTGACGAAGATTTAAACAGATCCTTCTTGTCAAAATACAAGCTCATGCATTCAATTTTCAGTTCCCTTCATTTAAAGTCCAAGTAAACAAAGGTATGTATGAAGGAATACAAGATGCAGAGCAGTAATCTCAAGTTTATAAAACATTTAAATTCAACAATTAGATGTCTAATCAGACAACATTGGGTGAGCTCATTTGTGAGACTTCTGCTCCTACATTTATAAAAGAATAATGTCAGTATATCGCATTCATGTTTTTTCTTTAGCATAGATCTCAGATATGTAAGTGTGTGTGTGTGTGTGTGTGTGTATACAAACACACACATATATATATATGTGTACATATATATATATATACACATATATATTCACATACACAAAGACTGATATGTTATAAATTATGTCAAAATGATGGCTTGCCACTGATTTACTTTCATGAGTAAACTTATGAAATTTAAGCTCTTTTTCAAGGTCATCCAATAGGTGGCACTCTTTCATTAGACCAAAGAAGTCTTAGGCAGTATGCTTCAAGCTCTCAAAAAATAAGTGATTTAAGACAAAGACATTTTTCCTTTGTTCTTTGTTGACCGTATTTCTAGAGACATATATCTGTACATTTTGTTCGAATACTTCCCTTTTATAAAAGTGTTTATATGGGGGTTTTATGTATTGCCTCAAATATAGACCATCAAATGTAAGTGTTATCAGGTTTTTATTTTAGTTTTTAATCATATGTTTGGATATATATTTATACATATGATGGTATACAGTGCTTTTTTTTCAAGGTAATTTGAAATTTAACTGGATGTATAATCCATTGCATTGAATATAATGGTGTTTATGAAAATCTGTCATTTTAATCTTGTAGTCTTAAATGAAGGGGAAAAAATACTTTTAGAATCCCCAGGCCCATATAAATAGAAATGGAGAAGGCTATATTTTTATAAAAAGATAATCTTCCCTGTTAATGATTCTCATTTCATGTCTAAAATCTGGTGTTTATATTAAGTTTCAATAAAGTTGGAAACTAAGGTATTACCATCTTACATCAGAGATATCTTTTACCAGCAACCTCATAAAAAAGATACTCTATATAAATATTCTGCATCTATCACTCATCTTTGAAGTTGAATGATGTCTCCCTTATAACTCAGATCTAAGAAAACCTGATTCTCAGTTTCTCATTTATAGATTCTGAGCAACTGTGCTTATATTTTCTAAATATGTGCATGCATGTCTGCATTGTTTTCTTGCAAGGGTTCAAAATGACCACTTTAGCCCCAGAAGAAATCATAGCACCTACTACTTTTATAGGTTAAACGTGCTATATATTAACAGTTCAAATTTGTGCCTTAGGAAACCACAGAGCTAATGCAAACAGCTAAATATTTAACAAGGAAGAATGCATCACCCAGAGCTCATCTTTATTAAATTCCAAAGACATTGGATTCTCTCTGAACAAATGAGTTAAATGTTTAATAATTTCAATACATGTCCAACACTGTGGGAGTGGGGGAGGAAATCCAATCAAGAATTCACTACAAGTTTGCTTTTAAAATTAAAGAAAAATATTCTTCAAGCTTAAAAAATATGTAAAGGCACTGGAGCAGTCCCTGCTCTCGACCAATAAGAAAATGCAATTAAATAAAAACAATATCTTTACAGTGATATGTTTTCAGTAGTTTTCATATAGTTGCATGAATAGCTTAAGTGCAGGATTTCACTTTATATGATTTTTTAACCTTTCACAATATATATTTCTTTTGAAAAAAGTAAAACTACACCAAAACTTTCAAAATTAGTTTTAAGGAGAATTTTCAGACATTGAAATTGAGAGGTTAGTGGTTGTTAAGTTTAAAAGGACTTTGAGCAATCAGGCCACATACAGATAATTATCGATACGAGAATGTGTCAGGAAATTTCTTTTTTGAAGAATCTGCTTGTACCAATAGACTGACTTCAAGACTACTTTAGTCAACTTGGGCACCCACACAGAAAATACCTCTTATCAACTGTACAGGAAGTGAATTTTCTGTGAAGTTTGCCATTTCCAAATGCCTGAGAGATTTATGCCTCTCGGTTCTCCTAAGAGTCTACTCTAATTCATTATATGCTGGTTAAAAAGGGGTAAATTATTTCGAGTTTACCTATGCCTTGGACTTGAGCCTGAGTTGATCCCAAGCCAGAGGCGCTCACAGCTGCATGCTTTATTTACAATCCCTTTGTCAGACTTACAACTGCCCCAGGCTATAACATAGTGTACCTAATGTTCAAACTGCCAGGTAATCTTATGTCAAACATACTTCTTTGATTTAAAGTGATCAATAGATTCTTGTAAAGAGGTAATTTCTCTGATGTTTCCACCTTGCCTTTTTTACAGGTGATTCACACAAAAGCCTGCTTATATGATGTACGAACAATAAACAGAAAGCTATAATCATGTTTTTTTCAGATGTTTCCGGTGCACAACGATTTGGGATCGATACACTGTGTAATACAATTATCTGCAATGATCTGGTTGTATTGAAAAAGAATTTGCAGGAGACCTCTGGGGGTTTTTGTCCAGAGACACGTATCCACCAACGTTGTGAATGGTGGGAGGAAAAATTAAGGGGTTGACAAAGGCTGTCTATTAGGGACCCAGTGACACCACTAATGTTTTAGTTCACAAAAGTATTATCACACCACAAAGTCTAGCTGCACAATAGCTCAAAGGGAATAGTAATAATAATAATGGCCAGGGCTCATAGTGTTTATTTATATGGGAAGGAAAACCTTAACAAATGTGGACTTTGCAGAGATTCAGTGTCACCTGAATATCAGGTAGCACAGACTATAAGCAATATTGATTATTTATGGACTCAGTGAAATAAATTATCTTGCTCCTATCATAGCTAAATTAGGTAAATGCTAGTGTCTGTGAAATACTTTGATGTGTCTTCAACTGCTTTCTTAGCTGGAATGGTCAAATTCTAGAGTGATGATCAATTTGAACTCTTTAAGAGAGCACTGCACCATAAGCCCTTTTCCCCAAGCTTTTTCTTTTTCTTTTCTTTTTTTTCCCCAAATGAAGATTTGCAACATCAGGGAAAGAGCTAAGGTGGTACCGCCTGTATCTAAAAGACATTCTACATTTTCCGGGGAGATTTCTGTGCGTGGCAACAACTCAGATCTGTTTGTGTGGCTCTCCTAAGACACCGACTCCTCACAGCGTCTACCTCGCAGCCTGGAAAGAGCCAGGCTTCCTCTTTTGAGCCTCTCCTCACAGCTCCCTCACGTGAAACTCCCATCTGTCAGGCGCGGCCTGATTCCCATTCTGGTGAAGAGCACACTTTGGGGTGAGCTGGTCCTGGGCACAGAGGCGCGCTCTGCGGAGTCTGCAGGTGTCCCCCTGAGGACTGGGCCTGCTCTTCCCCTCCCACCCTCCCTGCACATCCCGGACACTTGCTCTCTGTCTCTTGACCTCACTGTCAAGCCGCCTCACCGCACCCACTGTGGCTCTGCTGGCTGCACGTGCCTGCAGGGGGCCAGCCTCTGCCTCCTTAGAAAGCCCCAGCCTTGGCGGCAGCCTGGGAAGGCAAGCAGCATTCCACCAGTGCCTTTCATGATGCACTTTTTGGAGTGCGTCCTGCTATTTTGGGCTGGAGGATCCTGGAGATTATACAGCCCCTCATTAGCAACTGGGTCAAGTATCCACATCTTTTCTGGGATCAAAACCTTAAAGGGACTTTCTTTCAAGAAAAAAAAAAAGAAGAAGAAGTCAGTTGGAAGGAAGACTCCCCATTAGCCTAAATGCAGCGTTAATCAATAGATGAAAGTTCAAAGGCTAAAGAAAACATTTCCCATGATTCCTGGGGAATTAAAAAGGAGACGCGTAGGCTCCAAATGAATTCTTTCTCTTTAAAATGTAAAGAGGAATTTAATGAATACAAAAAGTGCATTTAATCTCTTTGAGGTACCACCTGTAGAACGCTTTCATTCGGCTCCAAAGCAAACTGGCCTAATGTGACATACAGGGAAATCCCTCCCCGTAAAGGTAATTATGATCTCCTGGTGACGTCCCCACACCACCTCAGCTAATTAGCTTCAGGGGAACACCATGTTTGTCACTTTCTTCTTCAATCTTATTATCTTTCTAACACACCGTGTCTCCGCTTTAAATCTGCGTGAGGAAAGACACGAAATAGAATGGGAGACTAAATTAATAAATGAATGTGCTTCTTCAAAAGAAAACTCACTAAGCATTCCTGGTGCTATTTTCATATCCATCGGTATGGTAGGTATTCCTGCCTGGGTGTTTTTCATTTTTGTTGCAATTTTTTTTGTTTGTTTGTTTGTTTTTTGGCTCCTTGCCACACCTTGACTCTCTATCATGCTCCATCATGCTTCTTTTAATCTGAATATTTAGTGTTCTTTCATGTCTTAATTACAGCAAATTGCGGCACAGTTGGCACCATTTCTTGAAATTAATCCCAGAGTACTTTGTTTCTGTCAAGCAGTGAAAGCCTCGGAGAATAATAGTAAATGTTATTGCAGATCTAAATTTAAATGACTGTCTATGTATTTAACTTAAGCCTTTAATTACTCGTGCCACACTGTTTTTGGTTCAAATGTTAAACATTACTCATTGAGAATGTGGAATGACTGTAGGCAGCTTAAAACCTGAAGATATGTTTGGCTCTAATTTGAACAAAACAGTTATTTATATTAAAGTATTTTCTCAGGTGTGGAAAACCCAGGAAATTCCATGTAATATCTTCTCATGGTCATATGTTTCAGTATTTCATTACTTCCATCATTATTAATAAAAGCCATGGATTTAGGTCCATTCAATTCTAAATGGCTTTTCCCTTACGAATTGTTAAATTCAAAACCAGACTCAAGAATGTCTTGGT